AGGGAGGAGCAAAGCCGCGCTCCCCGCAGAGCATCCCTCCCCACACCGACCCGGGCCGTGGCCCTGCTCTCCCCTTCTGCAGGGGACAGAGTCACCCCGGGACAGGGGGACAGTGGGGGACACCAGGCAGACATTTATTCATCTGGTCACGGAGGGAAACCCTCAGCCTCTGTCCCGGGGGCCCTAAGCACAGCGGTGGAACGGCTTCAACAGGCTGAGGCCACCGTGTCCATCGCGATATCATTGCTGCGTGCGGTGTTGTCCTCTGGCTGATCAAAGACCCTTCGGAAGGCGACCTGGAGGGACACCACGGAGCAGCGCCTCCAGGAGCTCCCCACCAAGAAGCAGATGAAGGGGTTGATGCTGCTTCTGTCCCGGGGGCCCTAAGCACAGCGGTGGAACGGCTTCAACAGGCTGAGGCCACCGTGTCCATCGCGATATCATTGCTGCGTGCGGTGTTGTCCTCTGGCTGATCAAAGACCCTTCGGAAGGCGACCTGGAGGGACACCACGGAGCAGCGCCTCCAGGAGCTCCCCACCAAGAAGCAGATGAAGGGGTTGATGCTGCTGTTGATGCAGGCGAGCAGGAAAACCACCTTCAAGGGCACCTCGGTGTAGCTGAACTGCTGCTGGAAATTCCAGATGCTGAGGGGAAGAGCGAAGGTGAGAAAGAAGAGGACGGTGATGAAGATAACGATGTAGAGCCTCCTGAGTCGGTGCTGCTGGGAGCAACGCCGGAACTCAATGAAGAGTTTTATGTTGGAAATGACCATGGGTAGGACAAAGATGAGGAAGTTGAGAACGTACATGGAGATGAGAGCCATCCGGCAATGCTTCGGCTCATGGAACGAGCACAGAGAAATCACTACAGCAAAGACAGCGATGGAAGCAATGCCGAGTAGGACAGAGACCATGGCTGAGAAGTGCTTGCGGCGGCAGCAGGGGGACCAGAACAAGAAGGAAATGGACACACACATCTCGATGCTGATGGCCGTCAGAAAGTACAGGCCTGTGTTGCAGGAGAGCAGTGAGAGATAGGAAAGGAAACTCAGGTACAGCGTGGGCAGGATAGCGGAGCAGGAGGCATTCTCTATCATATAGAGGAGGGATGAGATGGCCATGAAGAGCGAGAAGATGAGGTTGGTCAAGGCCAGGTTTTTGAAGTAGCTGTTGATTGGAATATTGTGGATGTGGATGAGGAGCCAGAGGATGGTCCCGTTCCCCACCAGCCCGCCGAGGCAGACGAGCAGCGTGACACCGTCTA